ATATATCATGTGCCTTGGAATCTTCACAACAAAATATCAATACTGGCTATTCTCTGCTTTTCAAAATTGCTTTAGGAGACACACTTTTAGTACACTAATGCAGCAGTTCAACAAAGCACTGGTACAACACTACTCAAAAGGAGGAAAACATTTCTATGACCCCAATGAAATAGAGAAATTCTGCTCTGTGAATGCTCCTTGTTTGTTCGATGACATATTTATTGCTATCTACAATAAGGATAAGGAGACTACATCCAACAAGAGGACCAATCTGCAGAGAATACAAGTAGTTGCCATCCTACACAATCTTAGTTTCTTTAGTTTCTTCAGGTATGGCTATTGCTTTTTTCCTGCATAAAAATAGAACAAGAAGAATTTAGAATTATTATAGATATACACTGGATACAGTCAACTCTCTCTTAACAGACACCTCTATAAGACAGACACCTCCATAAGAAGCACACCTGGTAATGGGCCTTACGCACTGTTTTTCAGTCATTTCACTGTATCTAAACACTCTATAAGCCGGACACCTCTCTAAGATGGACAGTTGGTGCCGGTCCCAATGGTGTCTGTCTTAGGGAGAGTTGACTGTATTACAAATGTTCAAAGTATTTGAATGTTCAAAACACAATACTGTATGTAGAATAGCTACTTACTACACCTCTGGGGTAATGGGGGGATGAAAATATCAAGCTGTGAGGCTGGAATCCTCAATGAAGTCCAGCAATACAAAGAGGGGGAGTAAAACAGCTGTCAAGTTTATGCCAAGTTGTCCTATACCAAAACTGCTTATGTATAACTAATGACATTAAAAGGATTGATATAGGAAATGTTTATTCCATTCTGGAAAAATTCACTTCTAACATAGATAATTAAAATGTTAATGGATGCTTTCGAGACTTACAAGAATATTTGCCATGATTAGCAAAATTCTACCTGAACATGCAGACAACATGCAAAGATGCACTAAAATGGTTTGGGTAAACAGAGGGTACATTTCTTGTTGCATTTGGAGGGGATGGATTCCCTTCTGGCAAAAAAGAATATGCTTAAAAATGTGAGCTTTTGGACATAAGTAGGCAGATTTTAAGGTTTTAAAGTGAGTACTGTTGCTGAGTACTGTTGAGTCATGCAAATAAGAAGTGATCAACTTATTGTCCACAACACTAAAAAAAATGTCACACAGCATTGTTTCGCAAACAAATAAAGGGAAATGACTTCCAATGGCTGGAAACAACTTTCTAATATTTGAACAGGAGTCCATCGGTTTAACTGTGAACATGGAGATGAACACAAGCACAATTTCATGTTGTAGCGCGAAAACATGAGTCCATCCATATAAGTGAGTGTAGCAGGCTTACGGAGATTAGCGGATCGAATAAAAGGGTCAAAATTTTACCGTGTAAAAGGGGATTAACACAAGTACAACTTTAAGCATTAGCGCAAGAACGAAGAGTCCATATTTCACAGTGGAAATACAGAATAACACAAGCACAATTGCAAGCATAAGCGAGTCTGTCTTTCACCGCGAAAATGGAGATTATCACAAGCAGACATTCACACATTAGCTCAGAAACAAGATTCCACCTTTTACCGTCAAAACAGAGATTAACACAAGCACAATTTTTAGCATTATAGCTAGACCAAGAGTCCATATATCACTATATGACAATGGAGATTAATACAAGTACAATTTGAATTATTGCCGCAAATATTAGTCTCATATTTCAATGATAAACTGGTATTAATACAAGCACAATTTCAAGTGTTATTGCAGAAACAAGAGTCCACATTTCTCTGTAGATGTGAATATGTGCACATTTTCATTATAAGGGCAAGAACAAGACACCTTATATCAACTTGGAATCGGGATTAACGCAAATACAATATCAAGCATATATCAAGCACAACCGTACTTATTTCACCGTCAAAACGGGATTAACCCAGGTACAATTTTAAGCATTAGCGCATGAACAAGAACCTTTTCTTACCGTGAAAAGGAGATTAACACAACTACAATCTCAAGCATAATATAGGAACAACAGTCTCTATTTTAAATAAGTCAAAACGGGATTTACACAAGTACAATTTCAAGTATGACAACATATTGTTGACTTCAAACTATTTTCCGCTATTGCTGGCTTTCGTTTTAAATTTATTCAAAGGAATAAAAAGGTTATTCATTGTAGAAAAAAGAATACCTATTCATTTTATTAAGGGAGTCAATACATCCTGTTTGCAAATTAATAGTCAGTGAGACAGTGTTTCAGCCATCACATGTACAGCTTTTTATTTCTGACATTTTTTACATCTCCACAAATTCTTACCTTTTGTGAAAGTTCTCTGCGTAGTCTTTTTATTTTGCCCTCGTACAGCTCCCACATGCCCCTTCTGTACATTAAATCGCAGCCCTTAACCTTGCAAGTAATTACCTTCTGGGGGAAAGTACTTTGGTGGAAAGTGGGACCTGTAATAAGACGAAAATTAAGAATTCCATCTTGTTCAATAAAAGTTTGCTGTTGTTGACGACCAAATTATTTTACATGCCAACAATTCCTTTATTTAAATGTAAACGGAGAAAAAATAACCGTCTAGGTCTTTTCTCTGGGAAACATATTTAACAGGAGTGCTGTGAATACGGCAATCTAATAAATGTGCAGTTACATCATCAACAACACACGCTTTATTACCAAAAAGAAATTATAACAGATTAGTAGTTAGGCAGCACGGTACAAGTTCCAAATTCCTTATAGGGTTAAACGTTTCAGCTCGATAGCAACCGAGAAATTCTGTACAGTTGACTTTTTTTGAATTCCTCTTATTTTCTTTTGTTGTCTATATCACTTAACTTCCACGCGCTTTCTGGAGAGTTTACCAAATGTGTTTCCTTGTGTTAAACAATGCTAGTGAATTTCTGTTAGTATATTTTTGTTTCAGAAAATATCAATACTCCCCCTATGGAGTGAAATAACATTCGAACATTCCGCTTCCATTAGCTAATTCCTGCTTAGGTAGTATGATAATCATGACTGTTTATTAACTAATCACATTTTCTCGAGGATATTGACTTACCAGGGAAGCTTCTCGCCACAGCCCAGGGGGCATGAAATTTGTGGACGCCTGGGACAGGACCGGTTATGGTCTGCTGCCTCGTTCAGTGTACAACTCCAGTCACAGTTCTCGTTCAAGCACTTCATATGGAGGCCGCTTGTAATCTTATGCATGGCGTAATTGACAGTTAAACATTCTTCGCCGAAGGTCCCAACTCTGCATTCAGCAGAATTAGCCCTCGTACTGCCTCTTTGCTTCTCTATCTCTAGCTTCCTTGTGTAGCAACTCAGACACGCCGAGTGGCCACATGGCAACGTAACGGGTTTAATCATCACCATTTTACTGTAAAAAGGTAAACAAGATAAAACAAGATATAACAAATGTAAATCATATGTCCTATTTTTAAAATTATGTTCAGGGGTCCATCGTGTGTAACTTGCGTTCCATGCTAGTCTGTTTACAGACCTTCTATCTTGTCAAAAGATCGTAGATGAAATATGCGTCATTTACCAAGGGTTTGGTCAAGATGACTGAAAATTGGCCGATTTCCTTTTTTACGTTTTGATGTACCGACATGCATGAAGCCGAGGTCAATAAAATCGCAATAAAAGAACGAGGGAAATATCCACCAAACTTGACATAACCAGCTTGGCGAGTGGAGGATTAATTATATGGCCAAAATAGAACTCGTTATTGCGGGACAGACGGGAAAATCCCGAGCATGCAAGAAGTAATATATCAAACACGAGAGACAGTGTTTCATCGAGATATCCAAACATCGAGAACAGAGTTGAGGTGTTTGGATAGCCGATGAAACACTGTCTCGAGTGTTTTATACATCTTTTCAATCGAAACAAAACCTACGGAGTAAACGGAGAAATAAAATCGTAAAAATATATGCTTATTAAGACCGGGTATCCAAACTTCCTTCACGGTTATGATTTTCTTTTTTTTAACTCGATGAATTATTAATGAGTTTGAGAAAGGCCCATCTCAGGTTGACTGTTAGCGGATTGTATATACCTGATTGAAGAGACGTTGACCCGTGAAAAGCATAAAACATGAACGATGCGACCCAAATGTTTGTTGGGAAAGTGGAAAAAAGTAATCCCCGTCACCAAAGAAACATGGTTGTTTGCTGTTTGGACAAAACATTGGCTGGTACAAAGTGTAGGTCACAAGCACAGGTCATTGTGAAAAACAGAAAAACAGGCTTGACATGTCTCATAGCCCTAAATGCTATAATCCGAAACTGTTTTTGACTAATGTGTAGGGCTAGAAGACTATGTTTAGCTAGTTTGTACATTAGTAGCATGGTGACCTATGCTTTGTGATCTCTAAAATGTGACCTGTGTTTTGTACAGGCCACAAAAACATCAGCAATTGTACATGTTACTATGTTTTACTTTCAACAGTGTAGTTATAAAAGAGGAACAATTTCAATGGTTTACTTAAGCAGAAAATTCAAAAATTCAAGGCCCACTTTCACCCTGCATGCTTTGTCATGTGTGTAACTTAGTTGGGTGAAGGGTCAGGAAATGGACTCTTTGGTATTTAAACAAAAATTTTTGTAACAAAAGATAGCTTAAATTCACAGCCTCAACTAAATCATTAACATTGTTTAAAAGCTGCTTTCCTTGCACAACAGATATGGATGTTTTTATTTCAAGATTCCACTGAGAAAACTGAAGTAAGCTTCAAAAAGAAACTTTAAATCTCTGCACAAAAATGGCAGTACAGGGCTAAGCCATTGTGTTGTTTCAGAAAATATTCACACCCCTCGTATGAACCCCACCCCAACCCTGCTGGAAATTACACTAAAGCCTTATTATACTTTCATTAAAAAATATTGGCTTTAAATGGGCCCTCCCCTCCCCCAAGATATTTCCAGTGACCTTCCTTGGGGTGAGTATGAAAATTTCCTGGAATCACACATTTATGGAGGAGGCAGCATGGCCAAGTGGTTTAGGGCGCTGGTGTTCTAATCTGGAGGTTCGGGGTTTAAGCCCTCCATTTGCCACTAGCATGATTTGGCTAACACAAATAAATATATTTAAAAGTAGAACAGTAATAATGTTAGGATACTGTTGGATTCTTTTAGTGTAATTAGTGTTTTCCCAGTGCTATCTTTGTAACGTTTTCCATCAAGAGTCTTGTACATTTTCCGGTCATTTTCCGCTTTAAAGTGCGTAAAGACATATTTGCGTTCAACAACTGGAGACGCAAGGCTGAACCATCTCATGATGCTTCATGTCCACAGGGACAGGACTGACACGATTGACCTGGTAGCTGCAGCCAACCAGTTTGTTGGAAAACACGACAACAGAAAGCAGTTGTTTGGGACATTTACGGCAAATGATTTGCCCCGAAAGCTGTCTTTGGTCTCACATGTAACTCAAACATCCGAAAGAAATGAATAGTTTGTGGGGTCTATGTAATAGGTAAGTAATTTATCACACAACACTGGCAACAACACTGTCAATTTGTATAATAAACCTGTTTAATAAGGAGAGTACAACGTTCAAGTAACATATCTGATCAATGATTTAAGTCAGTTAAAAATTGCTGGAAAATGCTCTCAGAAGGCTGGAAATGCTATTTTAGAGACCCCAGATTTGAAAATCAACCGGAGGCGCATGCCCCTGAACCCCCCTAGGAGCTCGCGCCTCCAGGGCTCGTGATGGGCCCACCCAGCCGTTCTGAAAAAGTTTAGATCACTATTATTTCAACACGCTAATAATCAGCCGCGACCGGCATCTTTGCAGACAAACAAGTAAAAGCCGTAAAAACAGTCAGCACGAAAGAATGTGAATTTATTGAAAGTTATCACACTGTTGAGGCTCCTTGCTGTAACTGCAGGCTCAAAATAAATAAAACTTTTATCTTAATTTATCTTAAAAGAAAGTTTATGCAGTCTGCGGTCTGCAGTATGCAGTCTGCGTTTTTACCCGACCGTAAAGATACTGGCTGCAAAAAAGCTCTCTGAGTGAAAAAAGGGTTTTCTCGTATATGGTTTTCAGCACTTTAAACATTTTAAGTCTTAGGTGATGCGTTTATGCGCATGTATACTAGTTCACGAGCGAAGAGAAAGCGCTTTCATCGCTTGGCTGATTTGCTGCCGCCATGTTGGTGTACCAAAGTTGTACACCAATATGGGGTCTGTTAAGTTGCCTGAAAGGTTTCGGCAAATTTCTCACAAACGGCATACTACAGAGACCTGAGACTTTTTTCTTGACTTCTTTCATTGAAGGGTTTCCAATTTATTTTTTTATGGTGTGACTGTGCAAACCAGCAATAGAAGCTCGGTTCCCTGCATGATGTGTGAATTGCTTGTTGAATTTCAATGAACAACTTTGCCTTTATTCTCTTGTTTTGTTGTCTAAATGATCTTTTATACAACACGGCTTCATCAGTAACGTTTTGCTTGTTTTAATGGAAGTGAGACAGTGTCAAAGAAGGCGACAGATGAAGAAAGAATCAATGAAATTTATTGATCTTCTCTAGAGTGGTGTCCACCAGTGAACCATACAAAATTGATTGGAAATTATTTAGCAAATCAAACGACTCAAGAAATATTTTTTAGCCACAAAAAGAGGACATTTTTCTTTTTAATCGAAATTAGTGACACATTTGAAAAACTTACAGCAAAATGTATGTTGTGGTTCAAATATATCTTTGCTTTAAAAATTTTCAAACCAGTTTGATTTTTATTTCCCTTTGTTTGAGATAATGATATTGAATTTGAGACAGTGAAAAATAAAAATAAAACTAGCTTGAAAAATATTAAACCAAAGAAAAATTTAAACCACCACATGTACACATAACAATTCTGAATAAAGTTGAAATTTGAATGCCTAAATTCAACAAGGTTATCTAGAAGATTACAATGTCCGAGCAGTCCCCTTCTAGCAGATGGCCCACTTTAGGTGAAAAGTAACTTTCGAGATACAGATCGTTTTACCCAAATTTGTTGTTTTTTTAGCTTAATTTTCAGTTTTCATAAAATTAAAATTTTTAATCAATAAATAAAGTGTTAAAATGGAAAAAAAGTTGGCCGGCCCCCCAGGGTCACCCTACCTTCAAAGCGAGTGACCCTCCACCCAGGGTCACCCTGCCCCCGAGCCAACTTTTTGATTTCTCATGTAAACGGTTCGCTGCTATTTATAAAGAAATGTATGAAAAGTTCTCTCGCCCGGGGTTACTCGGTATGGAGGGTGACCCTCCTACCAGGGACAACTTTTCTCCATATAAACAGGCCCTAAGATCGTCACTGTACGGACGAGGCATCGCGGGTTTGATGTATTTATTTGACTTATTAAAATTCATTGATCATATCCCAGATTACCTTTCGGGATTGTCGCGTGTCGCGTGCGCTTTTTTCCGACAACCTTTCTCGAAACAGCTGTAAACGCCGGTTCAAATAAACGCCTGGTGTACAGACAGAGTTTAAAATATGGTATGTCAGTATACATCAGTGTGAGCATTCCTCTTATCTGCGAGAGCCGTATTTCTCAGCAAATAATTATTGTTTATCAATTCATGTCTGTTTCAGTCCTGTATAAATTTGTTTACTTCATCTTCTGCCCTTTATTGATGGTCCTAATCCTGGCCACATGACTATAACAATATTTTTCACACTGGGATTTTCGATGAATTTTACTGCTGGGACTGGGATTTAGGCAGAAATTAGGCTGGGAAATGGGATTTGAGCAAAAATTGGGCTGGGAAAATGACACGAGCAGGCTGATCCCTCTTCGTCTTCTTGCTCGATAAACAATTGTATTGACAGCCATTAAAGAGAGATTAATAAACATCAATGAACCACTTAAACCCAACATGAATGCAAGCAGCGCAATCTCCAGCTGTCTTCTCATGATCAGATGATTACACTTCCGTATTACTAGCGATATAAACGACGACGCATTGATAAAAGACAGATGGAAATCATGCGCATAATGCCTGAATCTTTAAAAATGGCGTCCCCAGGTATGAAAACGGAACCGTCCAACCTGTTCACATTGTGCCAGTACAACTTTAGACCGTTACGGATCCAAAACTGTACCTGCTCCTGGAGCAGATACAAAACTTGCACAGATCAAGGCGGTCCGAAACCTGTCCGGATAGCAGTTACATTGTGAACGGAAGGCCTATCCGTGCAAATTTTGTACCTGATCCAAAGTGGATCCGGTACAATGTGAACGTAGCCTTAAAGTCTCCAAAACAATTTATTTGCAGATGACCTCAAAGTCTGCTAAAAGTTTAGCAGCCAACCTTTCGCCTTCCAAAAAAAAAGTTTGTTTTCTAGCAGTCGAGGTAAATAAATGTTGTATTGACCACCCGAGCTGTTCAACCAGCTTGTTGTGCAGAGAACTTACAGCTCGTCTTTTAAACTTATCCTAAAGTCAGCTCCACTTTTAAAACATTTATTCGACCAGTATAAATACGTTACACATCAAAGAAGGACGACTTTTAACTCTACGCTTCGCGCTTCACCGTGGGTAAGAGCGTGACGACTTTTGCAATGCTTACGTGACCGTGACGGGGTTTTGTAACGGATTCTTTATTATTATTTTTACAGGTTCGTTTACGCTCCAGTGTGGGTGCCCTATGGGTTTAAAGGATGTGTGGAACAAGTGACAGAGAGGTAAGGTTTAGCTTTTGCAGTTATGACAGTTTTTAAGGGGTTTTTTAATCAAATTTTATTTTTGACATTGAATCAAATATTGTCACTACTACAAAGGAGTGGACAACCCTTCACTACAAGGTGGCCGATGTGTGTGTGAACGGTAGTGTTTTTAGTCCTCCCAAACAGGTCTATGACATAAATGCTAGAGGGCCAGCTGGCATCACCGCTCTCCACCTTGCCGCATCTTTTGGTAACCTCTTGGATCCCTATGATGATGATGATAGGAGAGTCAACATGGTATCAAATTTGTTCAGTCTTGGCGCAAGCCTCGAATGTAAAACGGAGACGGGAGAAACGGCTCTTCATCTAGCTGCCCGACACTCTAGGGCTGAAGTCGTTAAACGTCTGGTGGATTACGGAGCCGGTGCGAACTCGCTTGACCACTTTAACCGCACCCCGCTTCACCTAGCCATAGGCGCTGATGCGCTTGATGTAGTCAAGGTATTTTTTTAACTTATTCTGTGCAAGATATTTGTACTCTTTTCAGTCTGGGTGTGGCAAAATGTTAACCTGTAGTACTCTCTCTCTCTCTCTAGGTGTTGTTACGGAATCGTAACACCGATGTCGAAGGGAGGATGGATGATGGTACCACTCCACTCATTCTGGCTGCCAAACACGACCTGCTGAACCTCGTGCAACAACTCATCAACACCGGTGCCAAAGTTAAAACGACAGACAATCAAGGTATGTTTCGAATTCCTGACTTTGTTTCCCGCCTTCCAAAAAAAAATAGGAGGTAGATTCGAGCGGTCTAATACTGTTTTCTACAGGAAAGACGGCTTTGCATTGGGCCGTTTATACAAATGGTTTAGAAGTAACCAAAGAGCTGTTGGGTAAGGGCGCTAACAAAGACGCTGCCCAAGACGAAAAAGTTGGTCAAATCAAGTTGTACCTATGGTTGTTTTGTATGAAGGGTTGGGGGCATCTCCGCGAAAACGCTTAGGGTTAGTAATGTTTTGTTTATCTGTTTTTAGGGTCAAACGCCGTTGTTCCTTAGTTGTTGTGAAGGAAGCACACAGAGCGTCCGACATCTTTTGGAAAAGAATGCCAACAGACACATGTCGAATTACATGGGCGTGACATTGGAGCATATAGCAAAAAAAAAGCATCATCACAACATCGTGGAATTGTTGACGGATTCGTCTCTAGTGTGTAATTCATCCAAGACAGTGTCAGCTCCCACTTCACCCGCAGAGAGCCAAACGTCCCAACCACGCGTGCCAATTCCCAAGGATGACGGCGCACCTCCCATACCTCCATTCCAGGCGTTCTGTTCACCGTCGACTTTGGACACGCCGCCTGCATCGCGACCCAGGCCAAGTGAAAGAGGAAGT